AAGGAATTTTGATTTTAAGATTAAAAATACTTTTATGCATCAGAAAGTTTTCAAAGTTCATATGCAAAATTTTTATAATCCTCAGATAATTATCAAATGTTTTTTTAGAAAAAAAACTTTATATTTTATCTGTTATTTTCACTACTGTGTCTCTGTGTGAGTTGAGTTGATATGACCAACCTCATAACCACCATAAAAAATTTTAAAATAAATATAAATTATGCTTTTTTCATTCTAGAATGACTACAAATTATAACATGAAAACACAAATGTTTAGTCTGAATAGCTTAAATCTCTTAACATTATACATGTATATATATTTATTATTTTTATTACACTGGCCTTCCAGTGTGCCTGGCTAACCTTATAGAAATTGCAATGACATGGCACATGTGCACTCATGTTACTGTATCCAAGAATATAAAACTGGCCTTTACAAAGTGACCCGTCTTGTCTGTGTTTTAGTGATCTAGTATTTTGTAAAATACATTTTCATTTCAATTATAATACATTATACATGTATATACATTATTACGATTTGAAAATAAGTTCTTTAAGTTATTTTTTCTAAAACATAGAACAGTAAATAAAGAAGTATAGCAAACAATTATACCTTCTAGTTACGAACTTTGTGCTCATTTGCTGCTTGCCATAGGTTGCTAAGCCTTATCAAATTTTGCACGTGCAGAATGTGAAACGAAATAATTTTTTGTTAGGTATTATGTATACATTTTGAAATTTAAAAAATCATAAGTTACTATATCAATACCATTGAATTCCACTATAATTTATGAATCTTAGTAACTAAGCTGTATTTGGGTTTAAAAAAATATGAAATTTCAAGCTCACTAAAGTGTTACGTTACTGCTTGGATTCTAGCATACAAAGAACAAATTTGGCACCAGAATACATCAAATCAGCTGAAAAAGGCAATAGAGGGACATTCTGTGCATGCGATTGGTTATTCACAAATTATAGTGTTTCCAAAAATGGAAAGATTTGGGCGAGGCTACTGTGTTTGATTCAGTAAATGTAGCAATATCTCAGCAAATAGAAAATATTTTATTTTAGATTCTAATATGCCAATATTGGTAATTTGAGTTTTTATTTTGTAAAAAACTATAGACATCACAAACATCTAATTTGAACCAATGCTGAACTGAACATACCATGTGACACAAGAAAAAAATTGATATTTAGAATTTGTTTTTGAATATTTACTTTTAAATTAAGGAATTAACTAATGGATCATAATAAAATTTGAATTATAATCTACAATTT